CAATCATTATTATATAAATATTTGTATATATAAATGCAAAAAAAGAGATGTGGAAAGTTAAAAAAAAAAAAAAGAAAATAATGTGGAAGTTTTCAAAAAAAGAGAGAAATTGGGAGTTTCCAAAAATAAAGTGAGATTAATGCCAAAAAAAAGGAGAAATAAAAAAAAGAGTTTTAGGAAATAAAAAAAAGAGAGGTTTTATGGATTTGTGCATTTTCCCTCGCCGTCGTCGAAGGTATAACCCTTTTGAACTCGAAAGCCCGTTTTCGGAGTTCGTGGCGCACCGGAAAATCGCCCATACACCTGGTGGGATGAGACCCCGGTCCGGCACCTACGATGAGGTGGGTAATCACCTTAAGCTCCATTTCGGCATTTGCGGCGCACCGAAAAACCGCCTATACACGTCTATATTGTGCGTGGTGGGATGACAACCCAGTGCGACGCCTACGGCGAGGCGGAGTTACTTATAAGTACCCTCGAGCGGGGGAAAGCCAATTGTTCTTTTAAACATGTACATTCGAAGGCCCCATACACGCCTTTATTGCGCGTGGTGGGAAAGCTAGTCTCCTGAAATTTCCCCTAAACAGGAGAGACGTCGGGAGGCTATCGAAATTTTGTCTGAAAAAGACAAGAACTTGAACTCAAAAGGACACTTGAACTTGTGTACAAAATGCAAATGACTAATAATAAAGATTTTGAACTTAATTAAAATGAAAACTTAACTTGAGCTCAATTTGAATATTAACTAAACTTGTATTTGATTTGAGCATCAAATGAAAAGAATATGAGCTTGAACATTGGAACTCGAGCGAAGATTTGAGTTGGACCACAGGGGATTTGAATAAGATTTGGATAATTTAAACTTGAACTTGGACTCATATGCAAAGAACTTTGACTCAGTTAAGTCTAAATGAAAATGATAAATAACATCCGACTCATTGGGAATGAATAGTAACTTATGATATTAAATCTAAGTTAAGAAATGGATTTAAATAAACTAAGGGATCAATCAAGAACTTCATTTTGAGTGACAACTCAAGGAACTTGAGTGAGTTAAGTCCAATGTATCATGTGACATGCATCCAAATGAACATTAATGGAGGAGCGATGAAGAATTTGATTTGTTGGAGAATGATCAAGATTTCAATAGAACTATCATTCCAATCAGAATGCAAGCGCTAATTAAGAAATATGATACATTCAAATCTCATACAAGCAAAATTTTTTATGGGGTTAGGGAGAATCTCTACATCTCACTAACAAGCAGTCATAAACAAAGGAGATTGAAAGGTCTCTTATGAATGGTGGATAATCAACAGCATGCTCAATAAATCGCCTAGAAGGGAGAATACTAAGAAGCGTGCGATGACCATGATGACCATGATGACGGGCCCACCTTCATGTGCAAAAAATATGACAAGAGTACATGTAGAGCAAGGGAGATGTAGAAGAGGTGGCCCCCTCATTGTTGCCAACCCAGACTAACGAACAAATGAGCTCGTAACAGTCTAATTACAAGTGAGGATGATAGATATGTTGCAGAACCTTAGCAAATGCAAATCCGATAGACATGGAGCATCGGGCAAGTGGATCGACCTTCTATTGATAAAAGCAGGTGACATGCGACAAATGATAATGCCTGCAAACTCTTATGAAAGACCTAGCAAATAATTGATACACCAATTCCTTACAAGCGAGAGGTGGTCGATTTGCATCTGGTGTGGGCATTTATGATTCGTTGAAGAATTTCTGCCACACAAGCAACACACTATTATAAGTGAATATGAGGAAAATTGTAATGAAGAAAGATTCAATGATACTGCGGGAAGCCCGTCACATATAAGCAAAGGCATCTACAAATAGATGTGGGAGAGGTCTCTTTCATATAGAAGCCTAGTCAAAGATGACAACGAATGATTGCAGAAACGATCGACCGTTAGTACAAAGCAGTGGCCACTAATTTTGAGATATAAAGCACTAGTAAGGACACGATCATCCAAAGTTAAAATGATTGATTCTCTATTTAAGCCAACAATAGAAAATGATGGCGATGGCATAATCAAGGAGATGCCCATTAATTCCTATATGAATTCTATGAAGAGAAAGGCAGATCAAATTATTATGGAGTGAGTGAATCTCAAATCAACCAGATCTTGAACATTGAGTTGGATAAGATTAGTGAGGCTTACAAGCTTCTTGATGAAAGATGGTCATGCGTCTAACAATCCATCCACGAGCAAATACAGAAGGACTACGACAAACACAGGCTCTTACAAGCTATTGTAGGAGACCCGTAGTACATCTGCCAAATACCCAAAAATACCTCCGCACATGCACTGTAGTTTGTATACACAGGCACACTAAAAGGGGTATGCAATCAAGTACCCGCACGGGCCCCAACGAGCGTGTCATTGGTACACACGTAATATCTAGAGATGCTGCGCGGGTCAATAAATTTGAACTCGATCGTCCTAAGCAGGTAGATAGGAGTCGGCGAGGTTCAGCAAATAACTATAAAATGTTCCAAACATCCGCATGGGCCCCAGCAAGCGTGTTGTGGGAACACACATGACGTCTAAGGATGCTGCACGGATTAGTAAATAAACTCAAGTTCGAGCCCGATCCTTCTATACAGGTAGATAGGACACGGCTCGAAACATTAAATAAATATACGGTCGCGAGGTCGACTAAAATATTTATTTTATCTATTCATATTAGCTTATTAGGCCATCAAGGCATTCAATAAAGAAAATTCATAAACAAAGGCATAAAGCCTATAAAACCCGATTCTCTGTTGACAGCTCGATAGAGTTAACAAGTTTCATCTACAAAATACAAATATTTTCAAATGGAAATGACCCCGAACACCCCGATGATGGTCATGTTGAATGTGAATCTCAACCGGAAGGGTTAATCTCAAATATTTCAAAATGCCATCAAACTCTTACAAAATTCAAATATCCTCAAGTGACCTCAGAGTCACCCCAATGATGGTCGTGTTGAATATTTATCTCAATCGGAGGGATTCACAAATACTTTCAAATGCCTTCCATGCTCCACCCAAATACCCACAAAAATCCAAAAATGACAAAATCTAAATATTTAAAATTGAAATAATACATTAATCACTTAAAGCAAAAAATTCATCCACCCTCCGCAACAGTTTGTCGGGGTGAACAAATTGAATTTTACTTCAGCTCACAAAGAGCTAATGCCTAGTCGAACTAGGACCCATTCTCAACCAATCTCCTGCTAATAAGGATGTGGTACGTGTCCTCTAACTGGCGGTTTTGCTGCCAAATGGCACCGCAAGATAAACGGTCATGACTCGGAGCCCTCTGAACCGAGTGATTTTGCCGCCAAATGACACCACAGATAGCGATTATGGCCAGAGCCAATACGTTCCTTAGTCAAATCCTTGAGATACTGAATTCAATAGGATATGATCGATATGGCACAAAGCGCCCTCTATTAGCTAAGGTGGATTCAAATTTGTCTCCTTAGAGCAAACATTCACGCTCAGGTTTATAAAAGGTCTCTTGATGATAGCAACCCATGGCTATCAACAAGATCCTTAGTTACGGTTTGGGTCAACTACTCACTCTGACTAAAGTAAGACCAGGACCACGATGGCCGGGACGATAAGAACCATAGGATCTTGATGACGGTCCCAATCAATCCATTCCCCTCCACATCCTGCTCTTTATAGTGCTTATATTGTTGTAATCTAATTTTTTATAAATTTATTCATATCTTTCTTCTCTTCATAAATTCCTTTAATTTTTTTTTATTTCTCTGCAATGTTTGCTACTATATACCAGATGAACACGTTATTTCTACGTATTTAATTCGACGACTAGCCTTAATCGCAAAAAGCTTTGTATCTCGTTTGATTCGAGAGGGTATTAATTACACTATAGGTTGCTTTGCGCCTAAGTGAACCCAGAACTCAGACCATAAGTCCTCACAAAGAATGAGGGCGAAAAACTCTGGGTCTAGTGGGTAGTTTCTTATCTACAACCTCATCTGTCTTCCAAAATTTACCCCTGAACTTAATCTGTTAAAACTCCTCACAAAGAAAAAGCAAAGCGGACGGAGGCCGGGGCTGAATTTTCGGAGCCCATACTATTGTAGTTCACTATTAGTTGCTTGTGATTGTTAGGGTCTAGGAAAGGGAAGGAGACTGTTGTTAGCAGTTCAAAATCACATCTGAGTTGATAGGTATTTTATTATTTTGATTTTTGTAAAGTCATGGCTAGTTAAATTTTTTGTTATGTAGCTCTTGCCTGTAGTCATGTACTGTAGTGTAGATATTAATTTTAATGAAATGAAAGAAACTTTATAGATGAATTTATTTTCAATATTTGGATATTTTAATAACTCTATTATCTGTAGTTTTATTTAAAATGAAATTGGAAGAGACTATGAACATTCCAAAACTAGATCTTAGGAATTGCCTATCACAACTCAACATGATGGGATCTATCTTGATCGGGGTTGGGATGTGATAGGTATCCCGCATGATTTGTAGTCATTTCATCCCCAAGATGATTGATGACATCAGTGCTCTCCAACTCCAATGGGAGGATGTTCTCTCACACCTAAAACCCCTGTATGGTCAGAACCACCCCCTACACAATCCTCTACTCGTCTCCACATTTCCAGTGCCCATCATCACCCCCAATTATCCTACGACCTAATTGTTGATGAAATTGTATGTCACTCCACTGTCTATATAAGATCACAATTCACACATGTATTCATCAATGAATCACAGTTTCCAAAGTCAAGAACACAATAAAATGTTACTTTACAACAAAAAGGTGCTAGAGGCATCGTTACTGTATGCTATGTTGAGTAAAGAAATATCTTCTGAAAACAACAACTTGCACGCCTGCAAATAATCTATATAAACATAAATGAAAGAGAAACCAATAGTAAATTGTTTTTGAATAAATAAGAACAAGTTATGATCTTGTGGACTATATTAACTACCATACCTTTTGGATTACTCGACAGCCATACATCTGAAGACTAAGTGTTAATATATGCCCTGTAAGTTGATCAGTAAATTCCCTTCTCTGAGCAGCCGATCCGTAATCAAAAAACTAATTAAGAAACAACATTTTGCATTTTGGTATCATTACAACAACAACAACAACAACAACATCAAGCCTT